CGCTGCGTCAGCGCCAGCTTCTGCTGGATGGCCATGCGCAGCAGCGAGTTCAGCGTCTTCTTCTCGTCCTCCGCCGCCGCCAGCTGCCGCTGCATCTCGTCCAGCTGGGTCACGTACTGGTCGCACCTGCGGGGCGGGGAGCGGCGTGAGGGGGGGGCCGCGCCAGCTGCAGGTTAGCGCTAACCCAGCCCACGCCACACAGGTTAGTCGCACTGGGGAGGGGAGCCCGCAGCTGCCAGGAACTCACAAACCGCAGCCCTGAGCCCAGGGACAAACCCATCTGGCATTTGCAAGAACAAGCAGCAGATGTGCAACAGCAAACAGTTCACTCCACACCGCACTCGTGGATCCAAGGCGAACACATCCACCGGTTTTATTTCTGTTAAAGTAAAAAGCACACAAGCCTCTGTCTGGGCTGGAGTGCAGAGCAGCCCCAGTGACCAACCCACACACACACACACACACCATCACTGGGTTAGTGTGTTCACTAGTAGGTTTCTTAAACTCAGAATCCACTTACCAACAGGCACGGTTCAGCACTGCGGTGAGATTTTCAATCCAGATGAGAAGACGTTATATTTCCGCACACAACTCCCTAACTGTCACCTAACAGCGTTTCAATCTATAACATCCAATTTACTCAAAATGAAGACATAAAAAAAACTAACAGTTAACCTGCCAAGCATTTAATTTACAGCTCAACAGCCACCTTACAATTTATGACTTAGGTGATCTTCACCTTTAATTGAGGACCAAGACCTCTAAAGCACTGAAATTCAAATTCCTTCCACATAACAAATGCAAAATACTTAGAGAACCGTAAAAATATCAGTTTGCAAATGGTCAGGTTCTGCCTACAGCTGGCTGGTGTCAATAAAAAAGAGACAGGTCACGAACCCTGAGTGACCCTCCACTGACCTCTGCCCCCCTCCCATCAAAGTAGCGGAACCTGTTCCTCAGCACACTGCTGATAGCTGCTGAACAAGACTATAGCCCTAACTGCAATGCCAGCAGGATGGAATGTAATTTGATACTGAATGCATGTGATCATTACTTCCTATTCGATTAAGCTGTGGGATTTTTCCTACGTGAGACACTCTGACTCAGTTAGCAAGACAGGCGCTCAGACAGCGCCATCAGAAACCCCTCTTTTTTTTTTGTTTTGAATCCCCAGAGTTTCCAAATGACTTAACAGGCGCACAGCAAAACTGGTGGTTGGTGGTTGAAGGTCACTGGGAATAGAAATAGAAACTTCCAGACCGGCACCAGGCCAGGAAAGATTTCCAGAATGCCACCCTCTCAGGTCCAGTCCTTCCCCTGCAAGGCTGTTGCCGTGACCCTGCTGCCCCTTTTAGAACGCAAGAACGGTTACAAACGAAAACAAGCCCATCTAGCTCGTCTGCTCGTAGCCAACTGATCCAGGAACCTCAGCTGCTTCCTGAAAGACGTCGGGACAGTCGTCCGAAATAACAGGGAACACGAATGAAAATGGCAGCAGCGCAGGGGGTGCCAGCGGCCCGGCGCCTCTCGTGTTCATCATGCAAGCCCCTGGGTCAAGCGTCAGGCTGCAGGGAAGCAGCCACTCCAAGTCATTGAGAACTGCCATTGAGCGGCGATATTATTTTTGCACAAAACAGAAAAGCATGTCGTCGACATCCGCGAGGGGAATCCAGTTGGGACACCTGAGGCTATCGCCCTGAGCGACCGAGTAAAAACAACGGCCTCTCTTAGGCCATACTGCCACCTTCAGGGCTGGAGCAGCATTGCAATCCGCCCTCTGCAGCCTCTGGGCAGCGGGGTGGCTAGCAGGGGCTCAGTGGGGCAGTGGCCTCCAGCTTCACAAGCCGATTAGCCTGCTGTCCTGATCGCGTGCGCAGCTCCCAAGCTCCGAGCTGGAAGGCTCATCCCTGTCGTCATGCCGATAGGACAATCAGGAACGAGGGCTTCTGACGACCAGATGAACTTTTCTTGGGAGGTGTGGGGCAAAGGTGACGAGGGCTTAACCAGATCTGTCAAGCAGGCAATCCTACTTGGGATCGAAAATAGCAGGGCATCACGCAAATAAATCGTGCGCAGACATCCCCAGTGTTGCTGAGAAAGGCGGATGGAGAGAGCAGAAGGAAGCAGGATCTGTTTTTAAATCAAAGCGTCAAACACAAATACTGGTTTGGAGTCTGTGATCACCTGGCGTGAAGTTCCATTTGAGCAAAGTTGGGAATATTAAACTAAACTGAAATTAAAGGCTGCAAGCACCTACAAATCCAGGAATACACACGTGTGGGATGAGAAATTTCCCCATAACAGGGCGAGAGGTTAAAGCAGAGTGTTTACACTGCGCTGTACAGTCCTGCAGCTCACACTGGGCTAGACAGCAAATCCCACAGGCAGAGACTGAGCTGGTGTGTAAATCCCAGCAGCAAGGTCAGGTCACGGCCGGATAAACTCCGGCCTCCCTGCTGATCTGGGAAAAGATCCTGTTCTGTCCTGGATGCCATCAGTGCCCCATGCGGCTGGATTTCCCCAAGTACAGGGAAAGCTCCTTTCCAGATGATTTTTCCGGCACATCCTGGATTCTGTTTTAGCAGGAGAGACATGAGTAAGGAAGTTCAGATCCACCATAAAGGACAAGACACCTCCTTTGTCTTTAAGAGGTGGCTAAGCCTGATCTGTGCTCATCCTGACCCATTGGTCCCATCTCCCCCCCAATCACAAGTGAAGGTTGTCAACAGCCCCTAGAAAACCTCCTGGGTTAGAGTTGTGTCTCAGCTGCAGCCTGTATCTGTTGACATTCGGCATCCCAATTCGGAGAAACACTACCGACTCTTCAAATCCCAGCAAGCCTGCTCTCGGGAATCTGAACACTGTCCTGCAGAGCAAGACAAAGATTCCCAAGTGCAGCAGGGTTTTTCCACAGATGACAAATAATTTGCTTGGTTTCCAGTGCACTACAGTACGAGCAGGCCACCCCAGGTCGACACTAATAAGAGGAAATCAGATGTCTAATTTTCCTTCAGCAGAGACAGCGCTGCTCTCCTACACTACAATTCTTCCGCTAATGAGGTTCTTTCACAGAGACGTAAAGCGAGCTTGATAACCTGAGGCAGTCTTCCAGGTTTGGACGAGGCCCACATTGAGAGGGTAAGATGTTTCGGATCACCGGTGACCCGAGCTGATCACAGGGTTCAAAACGCATCAGCTGTCAGAGAGCCGCAGACCCCAGAATGCCACAGCAAGCCAGTGGATACAACAGCACGGGATTCAGAGGTGTCTTATATTTTTTTTAATTACGAAATTATTTGTCGCCTGCGGACATTTATTTTAAAAGAAACCTATTCATTTACTTTCGAGATCACGTGCAAGAATCTCGCTTTCCAGAAACATGTGCCCCTGACGGTGTTCGCCTTCCTAGCGCAGTCACTGAGCTGCTGGAGGAGAGCAGAAAATCAACTAATGACTATTTTCGCCAATCGCAGCTTGGAGAGAAGGCGGGCTGTCTGAGGACAGCCGGTCCCGTCACAAAGAGCAGCCTGTGGTCACCGAGTCCTCCCGCGATCAGAGCTCTGACCAGAGCTGTCCAGCCTGCCCACCGCCCGCCCACCCGGCTCCGGTCCCGAGCCTGACCTTTCAGCACAGGGCAGGGGACAGCAGCAGCACACAGGGACAACAGCAAGACGACAGACAGACAGAACAGGAGAAGGAAATAAAAAAAGCTACAGAATCACACGAGCTGGACTGAGTCCACACCATCTGCTGTGTTTGTTGATGTCCAATTGCTCCAGGACCAGCGCTCCGCTGGCGTCCGGCACACAATGCAATACAGGGCAGCTACCAGGGCACGGAAATCCGAACAGACCTCGTTTTACTTCAATCAGAACCGAGAACACAGCCCATGACCAGCCTCGCACAACCCAAACGGCACCCTGTCTCACAAGCTCCCGGTACCGTTTCGGGCAGCACCTGAACCAACACTGGAGGAGACGACAGCGATGCTGAAGACCCCCCAGACCCAGCGCAGAGCAGGCAGACCCACCTGCAGCCAGAGCAGGCGATGACCAAGCCTCCAGAGAGCACGGGCCATCAAGCGTCTTGAAGGCCAGGAAGGTTTCGGAAAAGGCTCAGGTCAGAAGAAATTTTGCGGCACCTTATGTTTTGGTTAAGTAACTGAAAACTAAAGACCCCGGCCTCCAGTCAGGCCCCAGCAGAGCGGCGGCCGGCTCTGAGCAGACGGGACCCGCGCCGCGGCGGCGGTACTGACCTGCTGGCAAACATGGCTCTGAGAGAGGAGAAAGTGGCGGCGTCTTCCTTCAGCGCCTTGAGCTCGTTCCGCAGCTTGACCATCGTCTCGGACACCAGGCTCTTCTCCGTCTCGTACTTGGTCTTCAGGTTGGACAAGGCCAGCTCCGCTGTCTGAGACACCACACCCTGAGTGGCAACGTCGCCCGGGCAGGCCGTTCAATGCCCCTAGACCGGCGGAGCTACAAAATACACCCCATCGACTTCCCAAACAGCTAGAAAACCCCAACATTCTTCCAAACCTCACTGTCTCTTGCTAAATGTTCACATTTGCAACTTTTATAGGGATGTAAAATCTTGCTCTGGAGGGGGAAAATACCTTATTTACACATTGTCCTAAGAGTTCACAGAATATCTGATGTAGAATTCATTTAGCCTTAACCCCTTCGAGCCTGCAGACTCTGGATCTGTAGCTGACTACGCCCCTGTAGAACCTGC